TAAATAATGATAGTCTGAGGTGACCATTTTCTTTTAAAATTCATAGATCTGCAACTTTCTTACTCTAATTTGAATAAGGAAGTTGCATAATATCAAAAATGTGTAATTTTTAAAGATTTTATAATGAATTTGTTTTTCCCAGTAGCATCACTATAAGCTCCATTTCAATATTCACATTTGACTCAGAATAGTGGTAGATATTTGTTTCTCATTGAACTTGCATAGGTACACTAATGCAGCTGTCTAGTACCAAATAAGCTACCTCAATACAAATTTCATTTTTGGTTGTGATTGAGCCACATGGTTAATCCAGAGATGACATGCTTTTACATCAATGAGATCTCTGCAGTATGTCACAAAACATTACAATCTTTTGGCTTTGAAGATGTATGTTTCTGGCTCTTCCTTATTTTTCATTTTAAAAGCAAACATAATCAACTATACCATGAAGGACTGCAGCATGTTTTAGAACAGCTCAGGTAAACTGTTTTCTGCCATGGTCTCTCAAACTTGGTGCTACATACGCTTTGGGCTGGATAATTGTTTATGTGAGTGACGGTCCTGTAAATCACTCCTTGTGAAGCAATCATTAACACCAACTTCCCCAGGCGTGACAAGAAGACATGTCTCCAGACATTACTCCATCTTCTTAGGTAGTGGAGGACAAAATTGCCCTGGTTGATTCTTAGCCATAAAGAAAACACATGGCAAAATGATACCAAGATTCTACCCCACCCCAGTCAGAATGTCAATCATCAAGAAAACTAACAGCTACATATGCTGAACAAGATGCAGAGAAAAGAGAATCCTTGTAACCTGGTAGTAAAAATGCAAATTAGTGTCATCATATGGAAATCAGTATGGGATGCACAAACAACTAAAACTACCATATGATCATGCTGTATCATTTATAAGTGAGTATCCAAAAGACTGTAAGTCAATATGCATACCTATATTTATTGTAGCACTATTTAGAATATGGAGTTTAAAGACATACAAAAGAAGAGGGTAGAGTGCTGATCATCCAGAGGGAGAACTAGAGATCAGGGGAAGGGTTGATTTAGTGGTATTTAGGGGGAGTTTGGTCAATGGATATTAAATTTTGCTCAAGAAGAGCACATTGAATTACAATCTATTATACAATGTGATGGCTATAATTAGTAAAATATGTTGAAATTTGAAAATCTGTAAAATAGTTTTTAAGTGTCTTCATCATAGAGATAAATGAGATAATACAAATACTAATTGCTTTAACTCATTAATTTTATAAGGCATATAGACTTCAATGCATCATCTGTTCATGGTAAAATATGCACAATTTTGTCAATTTAAATGAATTTGCTTTTAAAAGCAGATGACATACTGTTGTTCTTTTAAAATAATAGTTAAAATATGTATTTTTAATGAAATGCTTGTCTCTTGGTACTTTTTTCCTAATATACAGGTTTACATCATCCTCTCCTTTAAGGAATCACTCAGGAACTCTTTAGCTAACCTCTCTCCAGCTCTTTTATTGCTTATACAGTTGAATCTTCTACAGTTCAGAGATTACAATGCCTAGAACATGGTAATGTATAGTGAAGGAAAGAACAAATCAATCAAAGAATAAATCATGTTTATTCTGGATACTTTCCTCATGCCTTAAATTATCAGGGTCTTTACTTTTTATCTCCAGAAGCAGAATAGATAGAACTATACTAACATTTCAGTGTGTTGCCTCATTCTTTCAGTCGTATATAAGATCGTCTGGATAAGAAGTGCTTTCATACGTTCTTTTCTAACTTAGAAAATAGATAAAGAGAATATTCTATGTCATATCTTACTTCCTCCCACTGGGCAGTTCCACAAAACTATATCAAAATCTGTCAAATATAAAATAATACTTCTCTCAAGTATCTGACTTTTGCAAATCAAATACCCCTTGCTTTCAGACCATTGGGCCTGCCGAAGTTCAAGTAAAACCCTTCTGTTGATACCTTTGCATAAATTTGCATACCATCCAACATATTTACTTATATATTTATAGGCTAAATCCAGCTTCCACATATAAGGGAAAATACACATCCTTTGTCTCTCTGGGCATGATTTAACTTCACTTAGCATATTTTTCCAGGTCTTTCAATTTCCTAACAAATGTCTCAATATCATTCTTTCTAATGAATGAGTAAAATTCCATTGTGTGTATGTGTGTATATGTGTAATATTTTCTTGATCCATTCATCCATTAAAGGTCATCTGGGCTGATTCCATACCTTGGCTATAATGAATAGCACTGAAAAAACCACAGTGGTGCTGATGGCTTTACTGTATCCTGGCTTGTAATTTTTGGGTAAATTTCCAAAAGTGGGATTCCTGTATCATAGGGAAGAAGTTCTATGTTTAATTTTTGAGGAATTTTCATACTGCTTTCCAGAGTGGTTGCATTTACATCCCCAGCAAAAATATATTAGGGTTTTTGTTTGGTTACATCTCTGCCAGCAAATTATTAACTAAAATATGGGAGACTCGAGGGGGAATTCAAATAGTGTCATTAATAGTGTCATTTTTTACAAAGGTAAATGCCAAGTGTAGCAAAATTGAGTACCAGGAAATGGATACTATAACTGGATGGATAGGATCAAGGGGAAAGGGATACACAAATGAAGACAAGAAGATCAGGAAAATGCATTCAAGAATCCAATGTACATTCTACAAAATTAAGAAGAATGAAAGAAAGTATAGGCTGGTCCATCAGAAAGAATGACATTGTCCCATTTGTTCGGAAATGGAAAGACTTGGAAAAAATTATATTAAGTGAAGTAAACCAAGCCCAAAGAAACATAGGTCCCATGGTTTCCCTTATTTGCAATAGCTAGTATATGTATGAGTCAAGCAGAAAAGGTCAGATAAGGTGATGTTAGGAAAATGAACCCTAAGATATGTATTTAAATTTTTTTTCTTTCATGCATTTGTTTCTAACGCATTTATAAGATTATTTCTTTGTTGCTTTGTATGTCCCTCCCCCACAGTATAACCCCTGCTTTCACTGTATTTGATGTTGGTATAATTTGTGGAGGGGAAGGGGAAAAACAAGTCGTTTAAATAAGGATACAGGTGGACCCGTTGCAGCAATGAGAAGTACAAGTTGTCATATCGAAAACGAACTTTACAACTTTGGTGGCGGGGGGGGGGGGGGGGGGGGGGGGGGGGGGGGGACGACGGTTGGGGTGGCAGGGGGAGGCTGGGAAGTGATGGGAAGGGTAAACAAAGGAGGAGGCTATAATGCTTGACAGGAAATGTACTCATGATCTTGCCCATGTATTTGTAACCCCTCTGTACAGTATGTTCACAATAAAAAAAATAAAAATAAATAAAGTATAGGCTGGGAGTAGATGGGTGAGATTGTTTGAAAGGGATGCCATTGATCAAGATATATTGTATTCATAAACTGCTTTGTTAAATGGCAAATCCTCTGTACAACTACTTAAAGATAATTTTTAAAAAGAAAAGAAGAAAAATATTTTAATCCATTCATCCATGGAAGGGCACCTGGGATGATTTCATACCTTGGTTATAGTGAATTGTACTGAGATAAACATGGTTGTGCCAGTGGCCTGACTGACATCTGGTTTTGTAATCATTTGGGTAAATTCCCAGGAGTGGAATTGTTGGAACATATGGTAGTCCTATGTTCATTTTATTTTATTGTTTTGAGAAACCTCTATAGCACTTTCCAGAGTGGTTGAACAAGATTACATTTGTATCAATCGTGTATTAGGATTCCCTTTTGGCTGCATTCTCATCAGCATCTGTTATCATTTGTTTTCCCTAATAATGGCCAATTTAACTGGGGTGAGGTGGAATCTGAATTAGGAAGAATGATATTGTGCCATTTGTGAAAAAAATGGAAAAAACGGGGAAAAGCATGTTAAGTCAGGTGCAGAGACACAAAGGATGTATGTTTTCCCTTGTATTCAGAAGCTAGATTTAGCTTATAAATTTATAAGTAAGTACATTGGGTGGGATGCAAATGTATACAAAAACTATGGTAGACTCAACAGAGGATTCAAATAGTATAATTTTTCACAAAGCCAAAATCAAAGTTTAGTAAAAATAAAACACTAGGAAGGAGGTACTCAAAAAAGGTGGAATAGGGTCAAGGGGAAAGCTGTAGACAAATGAATAGGTAAAGAGGGAGAGAATGCAGCCAAGAATCCAATCTGTTTCCTACAAGCTTAAGAAGCATGAGGGAAGGGGTAGATTGGGAGGGTGAGAATGTTGAAAGGGATGTCATTAATCAACATGTATTGTGTTCATAAACAGCTTAGTTAAATGGCAATTCCTTTGTACAACTAGTTAAAGATAATAATAAAAAAGAATTTATGTAATGATGAGAAGCTTAAAAAGAAATCAGACACAAATGAACAAGTCCTTCTGTTCACTCAGTAAAAGTCTTCCTTCTCAGTCCTTCCTTCTCCCTCCTTCCATTTTAGCTTCAAAGTTTCATCTAAGTGGTGAGAAGTGGCCAAGGAAAAAAGTACCAAGAAAAAAAGTGATATTCTAATGCATCATTAGCTCTCTGTACAGTAATCACAATTTTCCAACCCTATTTATCAATCAGTAGCTAAAGAAGAAAGAAAAACAAGACCAGAGGATAGAAATGTTTGTTGGTCCTTTGGGTACTCAGAAAATACAGAACTCTTCAGCATTTTGGCTCATTTTTCTGTGCAGTTTTAATTGGGAACTGGAACTGGAACTTGTAATTCTATAAGATCCAGTGCCCCAAGTGGCTTGTCCTAGGCTGATACATATATAGAGAACCAAGCTTTGAGCTCTCTTCTAAAAATCCACAACTGTGACTCTTTTGTATCTCCATGGCATCTGATCCACAACACAAAAGAAAGCCAAGCAGTGGAGGAAGAGTAGTTCTCATTATTCCTATTTACAAATGGAAGTATTTCAGAGATTTCATTTTTTATCCATATGAACAAAAATTCCAAACTGTGATGAAATTTAACTGTAAAAGTGCTTGTCTCGAGACCATGATCACAAAGGTTGTTTTTCCCAGGGTGAGGCATTATCTATGGGACTCTGGATGTGCTGACCCTCAAGATTTCCCTAAACCTAGGGAACTCGACTGCATAATTTGTGGTAGTGGGGGATTGTGCTCATGCTCTCCCCTGGGAAAAATATGTGCTTGTCTGTAATTTTTTTGGCTTGGTCTTTGCCTGGGATTGTTAATACAGAAAGAGTTGTCATTGTTAGTACCATAAAATTGCAACACATGGTCTAGTTCCAGAGAAACTGAGCATCTGGAAATGATCCCTAAACATTACCATACTGGAAATTTCCACCTCTCCCCAAATAGGTGTACATTCCATGAGAGAGACGATCTGTGTTTTTGAGACAGCACATCTAGAGATGAAACCCTGAGCTAAATTTGATTTCCCTTTGCTTTAAATTCCTCAGCAGATAGAGATCTGCCTTTTCCATCATACTAAAATAAATCACAGATTTACTATTTTGTTTGTTGCTGTGGACTGGTTAATTAAAATCACAATGTGGTTATGTTTATTAAGTTACAAATTATACCTTTTGGGGAAGAACAAGTCCTGAAGTGGAAACATGTTTACTTGCTGGTTTCCCTCCCATCTGCCTTAAGGGGGAGATATAATTAAATGTAACAAAGCAAAAAAGGCAAGTCAATGTGAGGAGAAAAACATTGCAGGGAAATATCTTCCAGCTGAACAAAGCTGTAACATTCTAAAGGCAGACAAATTATCACAGACTAAAAGCAAATGTGAATCTAAAACCAGACTTAAAGCTGGAGAATTTCACTTTAAACCTCTCATCCTAAACTTGCAAAATTGCTTAAAACATAACGTAGCCGAGACAATTACATAGTAGTCTTCCTAATCTAAAGAACTTTCTCTCCCTACCACCAATCTAAAATGCTCCCAGATTTCCTTTATGAACCTGTAGCAATGGAGTATCCAATTTCCCTTAGAATCCCAATAATTGGAAATGTGGGGTAGTCTAGATTTCTGCTATTATGCCAACCAGTACCAATACGTTACATATCAATGTAAATGTTTCGATTATCAAAATCAAAGAGAAGAAAGATTTCAGGCCTAGTACATAATAGCCACAGGCAACTGGTGACCACCCCACTGTGCAGAAAAGACATCAAACATCTCCACCATCAGAGACAGTTCCACAGCACAGCACTGCTTGTGCCTCACAATAGATTGAAGTTGAGTTTTATGGTCACACTGGAAAGGCTATCAAATATAATTTTCTCTGGTGATATTAATGTCTTATCATTGCAATACATCAGGAAAAAGGTAGAGATACTATCAATAATTTGAGTTATGAGTATAGCAAAGAAGTCTGTCTCTGTTGTAGGTTTTAACACATTGAAATACTTTCTTTAAACTGTTTCCTCTCTTAACTGAGTACAACTAACTCACAACTATAATCGTAGCTACTCAGGAGTACAAGATTTGGAAAAATCAGAGTTCAAAATCAGCCCAGGGAAGAAAAATCTTTGAACCTTCAGCTCTAATTAATCAGAAAAATGCTGAACTGGAGTAGAGTTATGGCTCAAGTGGTAGAGCATCAAGTCTTGAGCTTCAAAGTCAAGTGAGAGAGAGCATAAGGCCTAACTTCAAGCCCTAGTAGCCTCACAAAGATATTTCCCTTCTTGCCTGGTTGCAAAAGACTGAAACTTCAATTCTTAGTCAATTTGATGAAGTAAGATAATGAAGTCTTATCTTGGTTGTATGGGCATGGCAATCCATACCAATTAACAATTTAGTCCCAATCACAATTGTCTGCTATGAAGGAAGTCTAAAAGTACACTGTTTGTCATTACAGCCACAAGTTATATATGGATACTGAACATTTAAACCAAGCCTAAGAAACTGAATTCTTAATTAATTCTAATAGCCACATGTGACTTTTGACTACCATGTCAGTCATGATTGAGTTATCAGTAGGCTGGATTTGACTCAATCAAAAGAGACATTATCCTCGATGGGGCTGGCGAGTAAGTACTAAGGACTCAGCAAAGAGTGTGTGTGTGTGTGTGTGTGTGTGTGTGTGTGTGTGTGTGTGTGTGTGTGTGTGTGTGTGTGTGTGTGTGTGTATTTATCTACCATGTTATGTCAGGAAATAGTAGGTGATCTCTAATTGCTGAGAATAGTGTCTAGCCATTAGCCAATAACAAAATAGAACTTGCTGGGCACTGGTGGCTTATGCCTGTAATTCTAGCTACTGAAGAGGCTGAGATCTGAGGATCAACGTTCAAAGCCATCCCAAGCAGGAAAGCCTATGAGACTCTTATCTCCAATTAACTAACAGAAAATTGAATTTGGCACTGTGGATCAAAGTGATAGAGCACTACCCTTGAGCATAGAGCTCGAGGACAGTGTCCAGACCCTCAGTTCAAGCTCCACAACCAACAAAAAAATAAAATAAAGAAAAGGAGAGGTAAATACTATGAATTCCTTACTGAACAGCAATATGTCAACAACTTGAGTAAGTTTGGAAGAGAATCCAGACATTTGATATCACCAACCAATCAACTCTATAATTCCAGCCTTCAGAGACGATAGGCAGAAAACACAATGAACCCACACCTGAGCAACTAATCCACAAAATCTGAAATAATAAATGTATGATGCTTTAAGTCCCAGAATTTACTAAGTATTACCCACAAATGAAAACTAGTGCAGAGCTTGGTTTTAAACTATTTGAGGGTGTATGTCTTTTAAAACAAAAGAAACTCGTCACAATGTATCAATTTATAAAACACTGTTTTCTAGTAAAATGGATTTTTGTCTTTTTTGGAAAATTGGAGTTTGAACTCAGTAATCCTAAATATAATAGTGTTGACAATAACAATATTCAAAGTGATGATGCAGGTCATGCTATTAAAAATGCATGTTCAGTAGTTTATGTCTTGCTTTAGTAATTAGTTGACCAGTGAAATCAAACCCTCTTTCTATACATCTTAGTTAGAAGTACACATTGCTAAAACTATCTTATTATCAATAAAGAATGAGGTGATTATGACCATTAAATGCATTAATGGCATAAATGACATTAAATACATAAATGAACTTGTTAAAAACAAAATTCTTTTTTTCTTTACAACTAATTGGTGTCAATTAACAGGTTACTATCAATATAAAAATAATGTGTCATAATATAAATATAAAAATAATGTGTCAAAATCATACCTTTAATTTACTGGGCAATAACCAATGTGCAAAATGTATGCTCTAAATTGAAAACATTGTATATCTGAGATTTAAATCAAAGCAAAGCAGATGATCTTAACAAGAAGCCATGTTAAAAAACAATCTCACATCATAGCTTATATTTCCACTTAGAAAAATTTCTCAATTCTTGAGAGGAGAAGCAGAGTCTGTATTGATTTAGTTTGTTCACATTATAGAATTAAACTATATCTTAGTTGAAATATATAAGAGGAATTTCATCATAGACTGTATCTTGTTATATGTAGAAAGCTTTGATCCAATAATAGATGACAATCATATATAGCTACACGCAGGAATATAATCTTCTCTAGAGACAAATCATACAGAGAATAAAATGCTTTTTACATAGTAACCAAAAGATAAGATGTAGAGATGACATTCAGTGAAATAAAAGAGAAATATATATGTGTATATAATATTTTTGAACCAAATATCTTTATCATTTTCTCATAGTATTCAAAAGAACTGACCTATACCAGGTCAGGAGCAGTTCTTTAGAACAAAAGGATGGTATGCTAATGACAGGCGATTAGGAACATCAGTAGAATAGCCAACAGAATATCATGATATCACACAGATTAGTTCACCTTTATATTACTAAAGCTCTACTTATCCCAAGAAGAAGTCTATAGGGCGAACAATTTCTGGAAATGCTAAGCTTTTCTTCAGATCTTCTTCTAATCAAAACCCTTAATTTGCATGGATTTAGATGTTCATAAAACCCTTTTATCAAATAGCTGTTACATGTGTATACGCTTAAGAATGTTTTCTTCAACCCAATCCATACTCAGAAACACTGGATATTCTAACTCTAAACTTCAGGAAAGAATTATCTTATCCTTTTTGGCCTTACTTTTCCACAGAGAAACAGTACCTCTAGTTAGAGGCAGTTGTATCTCAGAAAAACAAAAGCTTGAGCCTTATATCTCAGCCCATAGGACTTGTACAAATGCTTTACACTGTTAATTTTCTGCCTCAGAGAAAAGGGAGAGTCTTGTTACGTCCTCCTCTCTCTTGTGCCCAGCAGAGAACCTTCTGTCCTGGCTGCTGAAGAATCTTTCAGTAGCATTGTAGGGGATTGGGATCAAAAAAGTGTGGCAAATCATTTTCATCCAAGACTCTGAGAACCAAAGGTAGTTTCTTTAATTTAATCCACAAGTATATATAAAAGACCTAGAGTGTGAATGAGTTAGATCAGTGATTCAAAAGCTTGGGATAAAAAGTTGTTGGTGGTAATGCACTACATGCTTAAAATTTATAATAATAACAGTAATAATATAAACCATAAAAAGTGGCTAAGATGCTAAGTTTTCATATCATCTGTTCCTCTTGTTGTTGCTGTTGCTTGTTTTGCTTTGTTTTGTTTTGTTTGGCTGGTACCAGGCCTTGAGTTCACAGGTCTTGAGCTCACACGCTCATTCAAGGCTGGTGCCCTACCACTTGAACCACCGCTTCAGCCTGGCTATATATTTTGGCTGATTAAAAGTGGGGTGGGGAAGGGAAGGAATAGTGGGAGAACAACAAAGGAGGGGTAATAATGCTCAACAAGAAATGTACTACTCATTGCCTTACTCATGTAATTGTAACTCCTCTGTGTAGCATCTTTACAATAAAATAAAAATTTAAAAAACAAACAAAAAAGTCTCTCCGACTTTTCTTCCCAGGCTGACTCCACACTTTGTTCCCCCAGGAAAAGCTAGGAGTAGAGCTATGAGAGACCAAAGCCCTGCTGTTACCTGTTTTTGTGAGGGTGGGGTTGGGGTAGGGGGTAATGGGGCTTGAACTCTGGACCTGGGTGCTGTTCCTGAGCTCTACAGCTCACGGCAAGTACTCTACTACTTGAGGCACAGCACCACTTCTGGTTTTCTGGTGGTTAATTGGAGATAAGAATCTCACAG